TATATATATATATATACTGTATATAGGGGTAGCAATATTTTCTTATTTATTATACATAATGAGCTCTCCGTCTAGCAGTACAGTATGGTGACCGTTCTTCACTGTACTTCTTATCTCATTGCAAGTCTACAGAAGCCGGACTGTTAGGTAAAACTTGCTGTATGTACACTAAATGGATAAAGTTTTGTGGACATCACACTACCACACCCCTATGATCGTCTTGGACATCTCATTGCAAAACCATGGTCATTAATATAGAGTTGGACCCCCTTTGAGGTTACAACATCCTCCACCCTTCTCGGAAGGTTTCCACAGGATTTTGGAAGGTTTCTGTGGGAATTTGTCCCATTTGTGAGGTCAGGTACTGATGGTGGATGAGAAGACCTGGCTAACAGTTCACATTCCAATTTATCCCAAAGGTGCTCAGTGGGGTTGAGGTCAGGGCTCTCGTGTTCCTCCACACCAAACTGGTGACCACAAGGTTAGAAGAGTATAATTGTTTACAATGTCTTTGTATGTTGTAAAATTAACAGAACCTTCACGAGGAACACCTGAACTGTATCATTTCGAGGCTGTCTGTGAGAATGTGTCCCATTTCTGAGGTCAGGTACTGATGGCGGATAAGAAAACCTGGCTTACAATCGGCTATCCAATTCATCTCAAAATTGTTCTGTAGTTCCCCTATGGCAATAATAGGATTGCCAAATTTTGAGTCAGGTCTTCTGGTCTTGGGGTTCCAGCAACGGTTTCTAAGGGTTCCTTAAGTAGAGAGCATGGATCTCCTGTCTACCAGTTGAGAAGACCTGGCTCACAATCCGCATTCCAATTAATCCTAAAGGTGTTCAGTGGGGTTGAGGTCAGGGCTCTTTGCAAGACACTCGAGTTCCTCCACCAAACTGGTCACACCATGTCTTTATGGAGCTGGCTTTGTACACAGGGGACAGTCATGGTGGAACAGAAAAGGGCCTTCACCAAACTGTGACCACAAGGCTGGAAGAGCACAATTGTCTACAATGTCTTTGTATGCGGTCCTGCAAAGCCAACAAATACAAACCTCCATGTATGACTACCACAGTTCAACTGTATTAAAGATATAAATACCAAAATATCGATAGAAACATTTTGGATTTACAAATGTACTTTATTACACAGAAAGGAATTGCAATCAATTAAAATTGTCCTTCAAAACTTCCCAGTATCTGTTTAGTACATCCCACAACAATATTTAATGAATATGGAGGTGTGGTTAGCTGTGGAACGGTACGAGTATAGCAACTGATGGAGCTTACCTTCATTTTTTGTGGATACCAGTGAGATCTACTGGACATGACCCATGTTACTGGTCACATGGTGGACGTTGGAAGCTTTATGCAACACTTTCATTTAATATTACATTTATGATAAGAGTTCCTTCAGGATTTTAGGGGGTTCGAGATTTGAAGGATAAAGTGTGTACGATTATTGTATTGGTACACATGGTGAATATTATTATTATTATTTATATTGCTCTGACAATTTACGTAGCGCTTTACATCATTCCTCGCCCTCAAGGAGCTTACAATCTAAAGTCCCGATCTCACAAGCATACATACGAGGGCCAGTTTAGACAGGAGCCAATTAACCTCCTGGCATGTCTTTGGAGTGTGGGAGGAAACCAGAGTACCCGGCCAGGGGAATATGAAACAAATGCTACGGCATTGAATATTGAAAAGAACCTAGGTACATTTTACCTCTTTATTTCTTCAATACTGTTGCGCTTGTACGATGAACAAAACAGACATTGTGCAGTTTTGAAGGACACGTTTAATTGCTTTTAATCCTTTTTTTTTTGGAATAAAATAAAATTGTAACTCTAGCTCTACGTTTCTATTAATAATTGAGCATTTTCATCATCAATACAGTTGAACACTGTATTGATATGTAGTCCCATATGGAGGTTTGTATTTATTGGCTTTGCTGTGCACATGTTTGTACCCAGTGTCTCGTTTTTGCTAATTTTTGGGTAGATTTTGAGAAGGGTGTAAGTTGTAATATGAAAGCAGACCTTAAAGGAGAACTATAAGGGGGGGTGTGCTTTTCACTCACCTCATAGTTCTAGCCGACCTGTGACAATGAGACTGTCACAGGTCGGCTCAGTAGATCGGGAGGTGAGTGTTTGTGTCCTCCCGTTACCCTAAGGAGAACTATGGGGAAAAGACTTAACCCCATAGTTCTCCTTTTAACTAAAACAAAAACCTTAAAATAGGGTATTATTTATTTTCGATCCAAGCCTAGGTGAGAATGATGTGTCCCTGCTCCTGGATCTTCCTGGAATATGCAGGTCACATATCCCAGGAGGCTTCAGCTTCTACGTAATCTACCCCTCACACACCACTGGAAA